ATATATATATATTTTTTAAGTAAAGCAATTTCTGCTGCAAGCCCAATCAGGCGAGCTGCCTGAGATATCTTCAAAATACCCCAGGGGAGGAGGAGATGGGCTGGATTTAGTAGGACAACTGGATTAATAATGACTCCGCGGCTGGCTGTGACCCGCCGGGAAATCAGGTGCAAGCGTGTGTGTTCCCGGACGCCTGTGTGGGTGGGCTGGGGGTAGTGGGTCGGGAGAGGAGAGAAGAAACTGCTTTGAAACATGCAGTGATTTCATTCTTCTTTGCTGCCCACCCCCTCACTCTCCCCTCCCTCCACCCGCCTCCTAGCTTTGCCATTTTAATCAGGCTTCCTTGTTTCTTTCTTCCCTGCATCCCCATTCCTCTCCCTGTCCCTCACTCAAGGTTTGCCTGTAGGTACCTGAGCTGACATCGAAGGTGCCTAAAGATGCTGAGCGGCATTTGGTTCCTCAGTGTGTTTACCGTGGCCGGGATCATACAGACCGAGAGTCGTAAAACTGCCAAAGACATCTGCAAGATCCGCTGCCTGTGCGAAGAAAAGGAAAACGTACTGAATATTAACTGTGAAAACAAAGGATTTACAACTGTCAGTTTGCTTCAACCTCCCCAGTATCGAATCTATCAGCTGTTTCTCAATGGAAACCTCTTGACAAGACTGTACCCAAACGAATTTGTTAATTACTCCAATGCAGTGACTCTTCATTTAGGCAACAACGGGTTGCAGGAGATTCGACCTGGGGCATTTAATGGTCTGAAAACCCTCAAGAGACTACACCTCAATAACAACAAACTGGAGGTATTGAGGGAGGACACTTTCCTGGGCCTAGAGAGCTTGGAATACCTCCAAGCTGATTACAATTACATCAGCACCATCGAGGCAGGAGCATTCAGTAAACTGAATAAACTCAAAGTGCTCATCTTGAATGACAACCTTTTGTTGTCCCTGCCCAGTAATGTATTTCGCTTTGTACTACTGACTCACTTAGACCTGAGGGGAAACAGGTTGAAAGTAATGCCTTTTGCTGGTGTCCTTGAACATATTGGAGGGATCATGGAAATTCAGCTGGAGGAAAACCCATGGAATTGCACCTGTGACTTGCTTCCTCTCAAGGCTTGGCTGGACACAATTACTGTTTTTGTGGGGGAGATTGTCTGTGAAACGCCTTTCAGGTTGCATGGGAAAGATGTGACCCAACTGACTAGGCAAGACCTTTGTCCCAGAAAAAGTGCCAGTGGTGATTCTAGTCAGAGAAGCAGCCACTCAGACACCCAAGTCCAAAGGCTGTCCCCTACAGTGAATCCTGCTCTCAACCCAACCAGGGCCCCCAAAGCCAGTAGGCCACCTAAAATGAGAAATCGTCCAACGCCCCGAGTGACTGTGTCAAAGGACAGGCAGAGCTTTGGTCCCATCATGGTATACCAGACCAAGTCCCCTGTGGCCCTCACTTGTCCCAGCAGCTGTGTCTGTACCTCTCAGAGCTCAGACAACGGTCTTAACGTTAACTGCCAAGAAAGGAAATTCACCAACATCTCTGATCTGCAGCCCAAACCTACCAGTCCAAAGAAACTTTACCTAACAGGGAACTATCTCCAAACGGTCTATAAAAATGACCTCTTAGAATACAGTTCGTTGGATCTGTTGCACTTAGGAAACAACAGGATTGCAGTCATTCAGGAAGGTGCCTTTACAAACCTGACCAGTTTACGCAGACTTTATCTAAACGGAAATTACCTTGAAGTTCTGTATCCTTCTATGTTTGATGGACTGCAGAGCTTGCAGTATCTCTATTTAGAGTATAATGTCATTAAGGAAATTAAGCCCCTGACCTTTGATGCTTTGATTAACCTACAGCTTCTGTTTCTGAATAACAATCTACTTCGGTCATTACCCGATAATATATTTGGGGGCACAGCCCTCACCAGGCTGAACCTGAGAAACAATCATTTTTCACACCTGCCTGTGAAAGGGGTTCTGGACCAGCTTCCTGCTTTTATCCAGATAGATCTGCAAGAAAACCCATGGGACTGTACCTGTGACATCATGGGGCTAAAGGACTGGACCGAGCATGCCAATTCTCCTGTCATCATCAATGAGGTGACTTGTGAGTCTCCTGCTAAGCATGCAGGGGAGATACTGAAATTCCTGGGAAGGGAGGTTATCTGTCCAGATAATCCTAACTTGTCGGATGGGACTATTTTAACAGTGAATCACAACACAGACACACCTAGGTCACTTAGTGTGTCTCCTAGTTCCTATCCTGAGCTACACACTGAAGTTCCACTTTCTGTCTTAATTTTAGGGTTACTTGTTGTTTTTATCCTTTCTGTCTGCTTTGGGGCGGGGTTGTTTGTCTTTGTCCTGAAACGCCGAAAGGGAGTGCCAAGTGTTCCTAGGAGTGCCAACAACTTAGACGTAAGTTCCTTCCAGTTGCAGTATGGGTCATACAACACTGAAACTAATGATAAGGTTGATAGCCATGTCTATAACTACATCCCCCCACCTGTGGGTCAGATGTGTCAAAACCCCATTTACATGCAGAAGGAAGGAGACCCAGTGGCCTATTACCGAAACCTACAAGAGTTCAGCTATGGCAACCTGGAGGAGAAGAAAGAAGAGCCAGCTACACTTGCTTACACAATAAGTGCCACCGAGTTGCTGGAAAAGCAGGCCACGCCGAGAGAGCATGAGCTGCTGTATCAGAATATCTCTGAGAGAGTCAAGGAACTCCCCAGTGCAGGCCTAGTTCACTATAACTTTTGTACCTTACCCAAGAGGCAGTTCACCCCTTCATATGAATCTCGACGCCAAAACCAAGACAGAATCAATAAAACCGTTTTATATGGGACTCCCAGGAAATGCTTTGTGGGGCAGTCAAAGCCAGACCACCCTTTACTGCAAGCTAAGCCGCAATCAGAACCAGACTACCTCGAAGTTCTGGAAAAACAAACTGCAATCAGTCAGCTGTGAAGGGAAATCATTTACAACCCTATGGCATCAAAGGATGTTGCTCCAAACCCTTGGAAGCTTTTGTGTCTGTGTTCTCTCTTTTCCAGTGCTAATGGGAGACTGAAAGTGTTTGAGAGATGGGATGAAGCAAAGATACTGCTCTTGCAAGTTTTCCTTTAAATTATTTCTTTCTGGCTCTCCCAGCCCCCCCCTTTCCCCCTTCTCTTCTTAGGAACCATCAGTGAACATGAATGTTTCTACAATGCATTTTTCATATATTTTGGTTATGGTTTTGTTTCTGTTTTCTTTTTTTTCCAGTGTGGGAGTGGAAAGAAATGATAGTGAATGACGGAAAAGTAGGCAAACTTTTCAAATAAGAATATTTTATAGAAGATCTCCAAAAATCTTTGGGGACTACAACTTCTTTTGTAAATAATGACATATGGTATTACCATCTTCAGTTACCAAGTATAGCCACTGGGCATCACTTCTTTGTGTTAAAGTGCCTTTGCACTTTAAGTACATTACTTAAGTGTTGCTTTTAGCTTTGATAAATTGAAAATATTTTAATGTGCTGTATTTTTAAAACTGAGATCAATGTAAAATAGATGTATATGTCAGCTGTATTAAGTCAACGTACAGTTTGCTTGAGTTATAGAAACCAGCCTGTCATCAAATGATTCTAGTTTAGGACTTTATAGACTTAAATGTAAAATATTTCCTTTCTTCTGGGTTTGTTTTAAGTGATTTTATTTAAGCCAAGTAAGGGGATTTAACAGTGAACTAGAGGTAAAAAGCCACCTCCATTGGGATTAGTAATTAATTAATAAAATCTATTTAATCCAGTATCAGAGTGAATCGAACAATTAATGCCCTTCCGTAAATAATTATTTTACACTAACATGGTCAGTGTTTTAGATTATTTTCCTAATTAAAGTACATTACACAACTTGTAATATATTTTGTCTGCATTAAATAATTAGATATTTTTATATATTTAAATGAAAGAGTCTGTATTTCTAACTTTTTAATTGAAATTAATATTTTTTCTGCCTATTGAAACATTTTCTATAAACACACACCAGTAGAGGCCGCCACACACCTCACTGAACCAAGACATAAGAGCCATTAAATACCTTGAAGGAAAACTTCAAAGGTGAAACTAAAATTTCCCACACATGTCCTCTGCAAATTCAAGGTGGCAGAGGTAAAATTATATAGGTTACTTCTATTTCTTTGGGGATCAAAAGTTAGACACAGAATTCTTCTAAATTTTCACGTTTTATGACCAAACATTTGCCTCCTGATTTTAACAAAGCATTAATGAGGTGCTACAAAATCATGTACTATTTGCATCTCCAGATCCATTAACAGTTATCTAAACCACAACAGTAAGCATCTTTTACCCTCTGCCTTCTTTGGGCATGTACTACTTGAAAAATTTCTTGTCGGCTTGAGCCAGCTTTTTATTTTGGTCTGAGCATTCTAATTATTTTAACTAACCAAGTCTATATAACATTTATGAAGCCTTATTAGCTTGTAAATAACTTTTAGATGCAAACATTATTGTATGATTTAAACAAACAGCCCTTCTTTACAACAAAAATAGTTTTGTTTTGTCTATTGTAAATCCTTATGCAACTGGGGTGGTGATCTGCATATAAAGTAGTTCAGCTTTTCAATTCCTTATTAAAGCAAGTGATGGTGTCTGAAAGAAGCACACTGTTTCCTTTTCATAAATAGGTTACTGCACATAATAATCCTTTTATTATCATGTGGAGATTGAAGTGGATCCTGATAACTTACTTTTAAAGCTTTAAAATGACTAATAGTACATTGCCACTATTAACAATTTATGCTACAGGCTTTCAAATAGAAATGACTTAAATTCAAATTCTTTGGATTAATACTTACTGGTGCAAAATAGATTTTTAAACAATAAAAGATAACTACGTGCATATGTAAAAGCAAAGGATGCTCGGGAAAAATGATTTTAACAATCTAAAATCTGTGACCACAGTCCCCAATGCACAGGTTCATTTTTTGCTTAAAAACCATAATTGCTATTTAAATACATTAGATGAAATTTGAAAATGGTGGCTCAAAGTGATCTACCCATATGTTCATATTTTAAAATTTTGCATTTCACAGAAACAGAGCTCGAGTACTGAACTATGTGAACTTGGAGATGATAGCTCCTGGGAACCATTTCATCTTCGAATGACATATTTATATATAAAAAAAGCGTTTTTTAAGTCCTCTTATAACTGCTTTCATTTGGTACAATAATACATACAGAATACAAGAGGTAGGTGTTTGCAGAAGTCATTATGAAGGCACACTAGTACATATCTTATTAAGACAGTTTTTAGACTATATGACAAGATCTATTAATGAAGCAATTCTGCTTCAGTGTTTGTTTTTATACTCCAGAAAATAAAAATGCCAGTAAAGAAAGTAAAATTGCCATAACAAAATTAATTCATTAATCTTAATTAAATATACTTTAATATTCATTCACTTCCACAATACTTAAAGAGGCCTCCTGGAAGAACTCAAATCCATAAACAGTTTGCTTAATAATTACTATTTAATTCTATATTCTCATGCTTCTTTGATTTGTTCTTCAGTTACATTGGATTTTAAGATCTGAGTGTAGTCTGATTATTTCGCTTAAAAGTATAATAGCACAACTTGGATGTTAAATCTTTGCTGTCAAATGCAAGCATAAGCACTTCAAGTTTTATTAATTTATTAGCATCCCACTGGCTATATTCTCTTTTTCTTTATTTGCTTAAATGCTTTCAAATCTATTTTATTTGTAGATTTTTATTTTTATCTCCTCCAGTTGGATTTTGTCATTTTCCTTTTATTTTACAAGGAGCTCATAATGGGTGCGAGCCTAGCCAAAAATGGTTCCAGGCAAGGGACTGTTGTTCCTTGGGCCTTCCCTGGAACAAACCAGATGTCTGGACCTACAAATGGCCAGTGGCAATTCCCTTATACTCTAGTTCTTAATTAGTTTCTCTCATGGGTTCTGCTTAAACCAGTGGCTAAATTTGTATCAAAATCCTCAAAAATACTACTTCTCAGATTTGACACCATTGCCAAGAATCTAATTTGGTGTGGACTTTGGTCAACCTGTGTGCCTTGTTCCTTCTGGCATTTGGTGAGTAAGAGAAAGACCCTGAAATTTCTAAATAATTCCATGTTATAAAGGGCTTAATATTTTATGGAGCAAGAGAGAGGTTCTATTATTTCTCAAACCCTGAAAATTCATTATGATCATACACACTCCAGAAACAAACTGGATTGAATGCTAAAGAAAGCCTTCCAGACTGTCTCCTAGTCAATCTGTTCCTCATTCATTCATTCATTCATGCATTCACTCATTTAATATTTCCTAAGTGCTTTCTTCCTAGGTTCCTGTCTCTGTAGTCTGCTGAAGGACACTGAGATACAGACAAGATCTCTAGTGTCCTCACTGCAAGCCCTCAATGTTAACTCCTAACTTTACTAACTCCCCTTCCTCTATAGACCTCTGAGAGTTTCGAAGGAGCTTAGTGCAAATAAAGGAGAGCTCTACCTGAATGCAAATCACCCCAAGTAAGCAATGGAGACAGTAATGCAATGCATGAGGTTGAGTTTTGAAATTCTGTGCAGTAAGAAAAAAAAAGAACTGATAAATAATAAATAGACTGGCTGCAATTTAATCACTGTTAACCTGTCTTTGGAGTTACATAGAAAAAAGGAAAAAAAAATTATCACCAAAATGAAATAAATGTCAGCAGAATTAGGCCCAACATTATGGCCTGATGATAGCTATATATTGTGATATCTAGATTTACTTTGTAAAGTTGAGTACCAAAATTGTAAATATAAAAACCATTGATGTACTTAAATTTTCTGGAATATTCATGTTTAGAGGCAATATTTACTTTATATTTTAGTGGCTTCAATGCTAATCTTTTGACTCACATGTCTTTTATCAATATAATGATAAGACATTTGTGAGAGAGAAAATTAAGTACTGTGTATAAGTCTACCTTGCTTCTCACAATGGTTGTGCAAAAAAATCACATATGAATTTAACTTTTATAAATCAAATTGTACTTTAAGTGCATTAAGGGAGCTGTCATTTAGAGGAAACTTGTAAATCCCTTTGTGAAGAAGAAAACCATTTTATACTACAAGTAATCACTCTCTGTTTCATATGTTTGGATTTTCAATATTAACTTTATTTGAAACAGAGCCCACATGCATAATAAGAATGTTTTGCCAATGTTGGTTGCTAAGGGCTTTTACTAGAAAGTCTGCTATAGTTTTATGTGAACTGAGCTATCTATGATCTTACGATGGCACAATAGGATTCGTGAACATCTCTAATAGCAAGCCCATTTAAATTCAACTGAACACAGGACTCTTGCTCAGCAGCACCTCCGCTCCCAAATATGACCATGTCTCCTTAGAGGGTATAGTGACTCCTGTATTCACGTTCTATAAAGTGCATAGAGTCACAGGTTTTATAAAAATGTTATTATGTAAAAATACTGAATTGCATGTGTGTTGGAATTTTTAGCAGTATTTTAGCTTGAAAGTATGTGTAAAAATGCTGTTAGACCTAGTTGCTAATAATTGTTCTGAAGTTATTGGAATAAATGGCAAATGAAACAAGTTCTCATGTAAATAGACTTCTGTGCCAAATAGTAACACTGTTTAAGAAAATACATGACATATTTTGGGCTGTTAATAGGCAAGATGAAATATTGAAAATGTGATAAAATGATATTGTATTTTATTGGATAAACTGTTTACATAGTTATTTTATGATGTAGTTAGCTTTCAGTTATTAAATAAATATTCACGAAAAATGAACATTTGGAAGTAGTTAGAAAGTTTCTTGGTATCCTAACAGGAATTCGTGACAAAGTTTGCTTGGACTATCTTCTTTCCCCTGATATAGACTGTTCAAATGCTCACATTTTAAATAGGTGTCCTATTCAGGGATAAGCCCTCTGTAGCCTCTTTTTCTCTGCATATTGGCCAATTGTGCGTTTCTGTGTTGATGACCATCTGCTGTATAAGAAAACTTCTCTGGTGAGAGTTGAGAGTTACATTCATTCTATGTGGAGAGGTACAAAACACTGCTTACTTTTGACCATTTTTATTCTTTAGGTGCTTATGGCTTATATGCTTAGTATAAAATGAACTTCAAAAACTATTGATATTTCTCCATGAGTATCTGTTAGTATCATACTTAAAAATGGGAAGGGTATATTAATAAGAAAAACAATTCAGAGTTTCTCTCTAGGAACGGAAATAATTACTAATTTACCACTCATCACACCACACACATACTTCTGCATTGAATTCAACTATTTTCCACAAATTTTTCTAATACCATATATGATATAATAAATTCATAGTTTATAAAATAAAAGAAAGATTCACCTATAAACATGATGGACAGAAATTGTGAATACATTAAGAGAAATGCTATAATTATATTCCTAAAAACCTAAAAATGAGATTACGGCAAATGAAGGGAGAAAGGTGAGAGAGGAAGAGAAAGGGGAAGAGAGGGAAGGAAAGAGAGAGAGACAGAGACAGAGACTGAAATTTATTTGTTCCTGTGATTATAGTAATATCTTGAAAATGGCTTCCTTGGCTACTTGTGTTTGGCTAAAGCATCAGACCATATCTATTGAGGCTGTTAATATAAATACAGTATATTCTGTTTATTCATGTAACATTCACAGGGTAGCTGAAACAATTGGAATAGCCATCTTTGAAAGTGCTTTGCTAAAGGATGAGAATGTTGTTGGCACAGACTACACAATCACTGGAAGAGATCAGTAGAAATGGAAGAGAACAAAAGTCGTGTTCATTCAAAACATATGTAACTAATCCATAATGTGTCTGATGATCTGGGAATAAGACCATCAAAATATTTCTGAGCTGCAAGCACACTTGATTCAGGTTTCTCTGGGAAACTGATTTGCAAATAGCTACACATCATTTGCACAAATTCTATTTAAAACATTACTTTAGGGCCTGGAAGGATGGCTCAGCAGTTAAGAGCACTGGTTGTTCTTGCAGAAGACCCGGGTTCAAATCCCAGCACCCACATGGCAGCTAACAACTGTCTGTAACTCCAGTCCCAGGGGTCTGACAGCCTCTTCTGACCTCGTGGATATTGCATGGCACAGGTGCACTTACCTACATGCAGGCAATACACACATACACATAAAATAAAAATAATAAATAAAATTTAAAAAATATTACTTCAAATTTACTATCCACAATCACCACTTAATGAAACATTTCCACTACTTATCTGTCAGATTATTACCTGGAGTTTTTGATCATGACAGAACGTTGACAATAGCTTGTAATCTAAGGTATCTTCTATCTCACAAATTGACTACCATGCAGATAAAATAGGTGAATGACATTTTAAAATTTAAGTGTATGAGTGTTTTGCCTGCATGTATGTAAGTGCACCCTTGTCATGTCATGCCCATGAATGCCAGAAGAGGGCATCGGATCCCTTAGATCTGAAGTTAAGAATGGTTTTGATCCTCCATATGGGTACTGGGAACCCAACCCAAGTCCTCTGGAAGAGCAATCAGTGCTCTTAACTGCTTAGCCATCATCTCTCCAGCCCCATGGTGAATGAATTCTTAATAGAATCCATCATGGGTCCAGCCACTCTGTTCCTTTCATATTGTGAATGCCTAACAGTAAATATTCCTTTACTGAATGAATGAGTGAATGATTGAGACGTGGCCTCTCACATAGACTATAGAAACCTAGATAATCTAAGTTCATAATGTAACATGGATTATTGGCTCTTCAATGATGTATTAAATATTTAGTTGTAACATTTTTTACAGCTTATAAGCAACACATACACACACACAACACAGACACACATCAGATGAAGATGGCAGAGTAGTTAGACTAATACACAGCAGTGATTACAAAAATATGTGCAGGGAAGTACAGTTTTTAGGGTTACTTTGATCTGTCTAGAGAGCTCAATATTGTCATTCTAGAGCTCGAGGTAGTTTTATTAATGAACCCATGGGATTGTGTTGTTATTGGCTACTGGAAGTGGGTAGTACTGAGTTGAGTGACAACTGACTCTTTCACAAAATTAAAAGATGAATGTTTCCAGACAATCATTTAGTTCTATGGTCCTGTATTTGATTACATGTTTTATAAGTTTTCTCAATTCTGTCAGAATATGGTTGTTTCATAAAGTGCTATTTATATAAAATAAGAACCTTGGGGTTATATTTCCTAGGGAACAGTCCTAAGAGCTGAAGGCTTGATCTTAAACATACTATAAAGTAAGGGAAATTCATAGCTCCCATTGGACTTCAAATTTCTTGTCTTGGAATTGTTTTGGATTGGATGAAGTTAATGGATGCTATTTCAGTATTTTATGATTATGATCTAGGCCACTTGAAAATTGTTACTTAAAATGAAAAACAAGGGCATTCAAACAAATATTATTCAAGAGTGAAAATCTCTTACCTCTTTTCTCCACTCAACTCAGTAGTCTAGTTTGGCTATACTTTTAATCTGATTTTATCTCTATAGGACTCAAACACATCATTAATTTTTGATTAACATCTTGTCCCAAATGTGACTTAAAAGGCTTAAGCAATATTTTTAGTTCTTTATAAATCATAACATCCTGATGTTCATTTGGGAGGATTATTATGAATTTCCACTCATCTATTCTCATAAGAATTGTCTTTTTAGTTAATGAATAAGTTTATTCTTTGTGGTGATTAAGCACATTAAATTATGAATCTATCTAAGAAAATCACATCATTCACATACAGGGAAAAATAGCACTTTCTACATTGAATTGTGCATCTTTCCATACTTTTAGTCATTACTGTCCAATTTCTTATCATGAAAAAAACTGATCGACCTATGGACGAATCAGTTAAGGTTGAGAAATTCAATAACTGATTCCAGTGAGCAAAGATCTTAGTGGTATTTGACCTCTTGATCATGAATTTCAGTGACAGGTTAAACATTGGGCCAATGTGTCTCTACCTGGTCAAGAAGATTTTAACTGGAAACAAAAGAATATATACCTCACTCTTGTAATATTTTCCTGTCATGTCATTTTTTTCAAGAGTAGAGAAAAAAGGAGAAAAAAATCCTCTCAAAACCTTTTTCCTGTTTCCACAGGTTGTTGAGGATCTGATTAAAAGTATTTGTGAATGAAAGAAATATCCAAATATACACTTCTGAGAGTTTTTTTCTGTTATGCTACAGAAAAATTTGTCCAAGGCAAACAAAGGATGTCCTTGTGCCTTGTGCAAAAAAAATCTTAAAAATACATCTTAAACGGTGTGATTTATATATTAAAATTTTAGAGTATCGTTGCCTTTTAAATCTTTAACAAACATTTACAATGAAATTCATTTTATTTACTAAATTGATTTCTGAAAAGTTTGCAAATAAATTTAACATAATCTGGTTAGTTTGGAGAAGCTTGTTGAAGGAATCTCATTCATTTTTAACTGTGTTCATTTCAGTTTTATTTTCTGCAAACTCATAAGAAGTTTGGTTCTACCACACAAACAGATTAAATGTGAAATTTTAAGATAAGTTAATTATTTTTCTCTTTACAGACTAAAAGGAAGGGAAGCTTTGCCTGTCTTGGTGTTCTTCAGTCAAATTTCTTGTGTTTCTCTCTCTAAAAAAATTTGCAAAGATGAACATTTTTATACAAAGTAGAGTCTTAGAAAGAAAAGAATAATCATATATCTTTTCGAATGATTTATAACACAGAGTCAGGAAACAGGGAGTTTCAGAAATTTCTCATCTCACCTCTGCAAAGGATATCTTTTTCAAGCCTGGTTGTCAGGCAAGGAGTCAAATATTTTCCACATGTAAGAGCCAGATTATGTCTTGGTTTGTTCTGAAATCACACTGATTCTTTCTTATTCTCTGACTTATCCTCCGAAGGATGTGAGGATAGGGAGAGGCCCATTCTACAGAGGAAAAGGGAGATTTAGTATATAGGTCTCCATGTTTCTCCTCTCTGCAAAGTAAACCACATCGTTACCTTCTCAGTGTGTCAAAAGTCTCATTTGAAATTATATTTAGCCTTCATATTCAAGAAGGACATTGAACAAAAAAATATATTTATTGGCAGGCAAGATGACGCTATGGGTAAAAATACATAATGCACAAACCTGAAGACCCGGGTTTCATCCCTGGATCTCAAAGTGAAAGGGTAAAACAGACTTCCAAGAATTGTCCTCTGACATTCATACACCAAGATTCTCAACCTCCTGCACTCCCATACACACCCGCCCACACAATAATAATAAACTAAATAAAATTCTTGTAAAAGTATTTATTACTATGTAGTGCTGAAATCCACTTTAATTCATTAAGAATGGTAAACCATCTTTAAGTCTCAAACATTACGTTTAATTAGAAAGTATTTTCAACAAACCTCACACCTGTTCTATGACATACAAGTGCAAATTTTGGCCTAGAAATTCTAATGCTCTCTTTGGCTTCTAATGAACTCTAAAACTTTTTTCTCCTATATCCACATATCTACTATTAAACACTATAATTTTATAAATTCTTCTACACAAATGTACGAGTAATTTCTGTTAGTCCTTATGTGATAGCAGATTGTCTCTAAAAATACTGTTGATTGAGTGTTCAGTGTGTGCTGAACACTCAAATAGATACTCTGTACATCTAAAACAAATCCACAAGTGTTCCTGAAGGCCAAGTCTGTATCCAGAAGTGAGACAATATACAGGAGCAAATAGAACATTCATTAGCCACCAAATCTGCTTTAGGATAACCC